TGTACTATATATATATATATATATATATATATATATATATATATATATATAACAATTTACTTTTATTTATTTTTTCAATTATAACATTGTACTTTAAACAATCATATTACCTAATTAAATACAAAAACTTTAACTTATCACTAAACATTTATCATGAATTTAAAGACAAACACTTTAACTTAACAATTATGCATTTTATCACTTCATGCACTCAAATTAATAAACCTAAATAAGCAACACAAGCTTACATATTTGAAATTTTATACATACAGTCTCATATCAACCTAAACAAGTAGCAGAATCATACAATTTCATATAACATTTCATATCAACATACAATTTCATATAACATTTTATACACAATTTCAATTTCATATAAACATAAACAAGTAATTGCCATTTTATACATACAATCAATATCACTTTCATATAAACCTAAACAAATAACACAATCATACAAAGACCAAACAAGTAACACAATCATACAAAGACCAAATGAGCACAAAACCAAAAGTTAAGTGACCAAAAATGACCTAAACCCAAATAAAATAAATAAATAAAAAAGTTGAGCCGACGACAAGTCGTCACAATAGCTATTTAATGCGGATCGCCACGTGGCTTGCCTACGATATGTCGTCAGGATAACTTTTAAAAATACTATGTCGTTTCGATTTTCTGCATCATGGAATAAAAATACATGAAAAATACCATTTGTCTTATCTTATATGCACGATATGTTGCCAGCATAGGATTTTAAAAGACAACGAAAAAGTCGTCGTTCCTGCCGTATCTGTCGAGACGACATGTGGTCAGCACATATTTTCAGGTCAGGCAATCATGGTCAAAGTTTGCAATAGCTATGGCGACGACATGTCGTTGTCATAGACCTACTTTTAGCGACGACACTATCATTCGGATAGAGTGTTATTCTTGTAGTGGGTGTTACTCAGAGAAAATAATCATGACATAACTTAATATTAAATTTTGATAGTAAATCGTAAATAAAAACAATTTTAACATGCAATGCTTATAAAAAAAATGACTAGATATAAATATAAATAATCTCTAAATATTATTAAAAGAGAAACCTTATGAAACCATCTAAAACAATCTGGACCGTTGATTGTGTTTCCTTTATAGGTTTTACACCCTTAGATCAATTTGCTTACATCACCTTGATCAAATAAGAAGTCAATCTGTTATATTAGGAAATTAAATGTAGGAATTGAATGAAAATGATAGTTAAATTCTTTCCAAACTTACAACTACAAAATTGGTTCCTTATTAATGTAAACCTTAAATTTAGGCTCTATTTCCATTTAAAATTGCTTTCCAAATACATTATATGTTGAAATCTCGGAAACTATTAATTTCAAATTTCAAAAGTTTCGGATATTTTTATGAACCAATAGACTTTCAAACATGATATCTTCTATTTTAAGTTTAAATGAGATTTCAATTGATTACCTGCTAATTTTCACCATATTGACTTGTATATATATTTCAAACATTTTTAATAATCGATTTACACAAACATTATGTCATAATTCCAACGTAGAAAACAAATCTCTAAATATTATTAAAAGAGAAACCTTATGGCATCATCTAAAACAATCTGGATCGTTGATTGTGTTTTCTTTATAGGTTTTACACCCTTAGATCAATTTGCTTACGTCACCTTGATCAAACAAGAAGTCAATCCGTTATATTAGGAAATTAAATGTAGGAATTGAATGAAAATGATACTTGAATTCTTTCCAAACTTACAATTACAAAATTGGTTCCTTATTAATGTAAACCTTAAATTTTGGCTCTATTTCCATTCAAATTGCTTTCCAAATACATTATATGTTGAAATCTCGGAAACTATTAATTTCAAATTTCAAAAGTTTCGGATATTTTTATGAACCAATACACTTTCAAGCATGATATCTTCTATTTTATGTTTAAATGAGATTTCAATTGATTACCCGCTAATTTTCATCATATTGAATTGTATATATATATTTCAAACCATTTAATAATCGATTTACACAAACATTATGTCATAATTCCCACGTAGAAAACAAATGCAAAAAAACTTCAACCTTCCCATCAGTCTGATTAGTCGAATAAATGTATGTATTTCTTCCTTAAATCATTTTACTCTGTAAGTTTGATATTGTTTTCGAAATTATATGTTTTTACTCATTCGTATGGTTCTTTGTTAAATACTTATAATTTGGATGTATAATGTTGTTTTTGAAATTTTTTTTTTTTTTTGATGTTGTGTTTGGTTCTTGGTTCCATCTTTTTAATTGGTAACTATGATCCTAATTTCGAAAACAGTAAACTCAATGTTAAAATTGGATGTTATATATAATGAAATTATGATGTTACATGTGTGTGAGCTTTAAAGTTAAATATAAGCATGTTGTGAAAGATGAAAATAGGCTTCCGTATTCTTTTTTCAAATAGAATCGGTACCATACATGGGCAGGTAATAATGCATGGTATAATAGAAGTGTGCACTCAACTAGAGTCAGCATTTGACCCTGAAATACCAAAAACGCCCCTCATAACCTAATTTGCTCTTTTCTTTATGGTGGTAGATTGAGCTTCATCACTTCTGTCCCTAATTTGCTCTTTTCTTTATAGTAAGGAATGTTCTTTACCACCACTGGATCATTTTTTGCACGTTCAGGATCCATTGATATAATTACTGTTGTATTTCAAATTCAAAAACAAAATTGTAATTAATTAATTTCTCATTGAAGTTAATAAATTATAAACGTATCTCACTTCTTACTCATCCAAGTTTTCTCATTGCTATAACATCACGAAGTTGATCATATCACATATTTTTCTAAATAAAAAACACTAATATCAACAAAAGAAGCTATTTAATTTTGTAATAAAGTTGAATTAAAAAATAAGTAAATAAATAAATAAGAAATAGAAGAACCTTGTATTACCACCATATTTTATGTTTGACCTCATCACCATATTTAAATCATCTTATAATTTGAGGCATTGTGATTAACCAAAATGCAACAATGCTTGGATCTTTCATGCTATCAATAATATGCTGAAATCCAAAAGTAGATGTTTTGAAGTGAGATAATTGTTACAAGAGGAAAAGGGGTAGAATCGTAATTGGCATTTACCTCATAAGGGTTTTTTTTTTGTTTTTTTCATTATGTTGTAAGCTTTGCATGGAGGCTCGATAATTTGCAAAGTAAATAAAACTAAAGGGGTGTTTTTTTTTTTTTTCCTTCATTAAACTCTATAGTGAATGACTATATGGATAAAGTGTTCTATACATAAAGATTGTAGATAAAGATGGAAAATAAAACGCAATGGATTATGAGAAATCACAAAAAATAAGAACCAAACCTAGGAACCAACATCGAACAAAAACCCTACTTTCTCTACTTCAAAAAAATCAACATACCTGCACATACTCAAAACCGTAGAAAGAATTTCACAAAAAAAAATGTTATTTCATAAAAAAAGGAGCCTGAAAAAAAAAAGATGGTGGTAAACCGAAGAAGACATATCAAAATCAACAAAAAAAACATAAATATAAACATAAATGATGGACCTGATAAATGATTTATGTCATATTATCCCTAAAATAAAAAATACGCCATCAATGAATCTTAACAATGTCGATGATAGTGACAATAACTTAGATTAAGGAAAAAAAAAGATCTGATATTAGAGATGAAGTGGAGGGAGATGATTAGCTTCGTTGCAGATTTATTGGTTATAGTTTCTTTATATTAAATATTGTGGGGGGTTTTATGTGGTTCATTTTGAAAGAACATAAATAAGTTGCTATTTTTTGAAATAAATAGTTATATTTCGCAATACAACCATAAAATAACAATGCATTTTGAAAGTACATTGTTAAATGTTGGATTATACTTGTGTAGACCCATGTTCACGCATGATTGACTATATATAGTTGTTTTCCGTATCACAAGTAAAAAATGTTTGAAGGTACTTATACGTGACAAACAAGATCAGTGACCTAATAAAACAAAAAATGTTGTCTATAAAGAGATCCTTTAACGCTATATATATATATATATATATATATATATATATATATATATATATATATATATATATATATATATATATACCTATTTTAATGTAATTTCTACACATTTCAATAATACCAATAACCCTACTTTTTTTATAATTATTTTGTATTATCTATATAAATTTACATTTTATTTATGTGTGCCCCATGTGTAACGCGAGTCATAATCTAGTATTTTATTATTGTATAAAATACTTTTCTTTAAATATAAAAAATATAAAAACCACTTGCATATAAAAAGATAAAATGAAATAGCAATGCGACATTTTAGGAAAAGCTAAAAGGTAAAAATACAACATATGTTTTTTTACATTTAACACTATACATGTAATATATAATATATAATTATATATGATGAATAATATACATAATGTTATTTTTTTGTTCATAGCCCAACGGAATGAGTTGATAATTGTGTACGCGTATGAACTATATATAGATTAAGGTTGTCATGATGGGGATCCTACATAGGATCATTTTTGGGTTTGCAAAATCGGAATCATAAGATCTGGATCGAGATCCTAAAATCCCACAAAATAGAATATAACTTTAATTTATGATATTTAATCATGAAAGATATTTCAAACATTTAATTTTTCGCTTAAAAGTTATAAAAACTTCAAAATACTAGTCATAAATCATAATAAAAATAATAGATGGTAGATTGGTAAAGGGTAAAAAACATAAAGTAGTAAAAAAAATTCATTTACAAAACAAAAAAATAAAAAAATCAAAGGATCGTAGGATCGGATCGGATCTCGATCCTACGATCCTACCTACGATCTTACGATCCTACCCCAAATACGATCCTTTTACGATCTAAATCGTTTTTCATACCTAGGAATTTACGATCCTACGATCAGGATCGCGATTTTGACAACCATAATATAGATATAGTTTGTGATAAAACCTAAATCCTCCAATGAAGCAACCGAGGAACGCCATCAAGGGCCTTAGAGAAGGAATATTGCCCGTATTCATGGAAGGTGGTTTCTCTGTACCTCGGTGGGTTCTCATCGGAAACCAGCTCCGGCAATGGTCCCAACACCTTTTTCGACGGCGCTAAGGAGGTTCCGAAGAAACACGCCACCGACACTCTCGGTCCTTTCTCATTTGCCACCACTCTGTGCTCCACACTTCTCAATTTATCATTCGATAAAATCTGCAAAACCCTAAAAAAGTTACACTCCAGTTTGGTTTTTCAGAGTCAAGAATCAATTGTCGAATGTTATATAGCTAAACAAACTTGCCTGTAATAGATCTCCGATATTGATCACAAGCGCACCAGGTATTGGAGGAACATCAATCCATTGATTTTGATGGAGAATTTGGAGTCCCCCGATTTCATCTTGTAGAAGCACTGTTAGAAAACCACCGTCTGTGTGTTTGGTTGTACCCATTGTTAGATCTGGTTGTGGACAAGCAGGATAACAATGGCCGGCGATTGAAAGCCCTTTGTCAAAATCCAGATCTCCGAGGTGATTATCGTTCAACCCCAAGGCTTCTGAGATCAATTGGAATAACAACCTGCCTAGTTTCATCACTTGATTTGAATACTCGATTTGTATGTCTCTGCAAACCTCCGGTAATTCCTCAGGCGGCGGAGGTGACGGAGCCATAAAGGAAAAGACGGTGTCCCTCCAGTTCGCGGCGGGGGAACTATACAGATCAAAGTTGCTATTATACACTACTGTTCTCGAAAGATCCCTTGTGTAAAACTCTTTTTTCACCTCCACATCTTGTTCGTGAAATCTACGAACTCCTTGAAGCATCTCCTCCATAACAGTCACAGGGATCCCGTGATTCACTATTTGAAAAAACCCTAGATTCTCCGATGCGGCGCGGATCTTCTCCACCGTCGATGCTTTATCGGTGGATCCAAGGTCTACGACTGGAATCTCGAAAATTGTGGAGGTTTTGGGGGAGGTTTCCGGTGGATGGATGAAGATGCGAGGGATTTGTCGGATTCCGGCATCGACGAGGCCTTTGACGCCGGTTTTTGTTTGGTCGAAAGCTTTGAGCTCCGTTGGTCGATCGTAGCCTGAGATGACTGAAGTGGTGGTGGTGGCCGCCATTTTTGTGAAGATGATCGTAAGATGTCATGTAGATAATATGCTGCCACCCACTCATTCTTGCCACGTTGACTCAAATGCTAATAGTAGTAAAAGTCAAAGTTAACTCACACTGAATCTCTTTTTTAGTATATGTATGTACTAAATTATTTGTTGTAAACAAATATGATGTCGTGTGACTTTAAACTCATCTTAAAACACCAAAATCATGGCGAAAGGAACAATGTGTTTGACAATAATATACCCTAAATGAGCAATGTCAACACTAAATTGTAACGAGAAAGATCCAACATAGCTGTATTCTTGTTCCTAGTACGATTGTAAGGAAAAAGTGAGCTGAAACTATATGAACAGTCAACTTGGATTGAAATGATAATAAGAACATGAAGGTAATCAATCATTAACTACATGGCAATTGTAAAATGTTTTACCTCTTTGTATCTAGATAGATAAGTGTTGAGGGTATCAATGTAATCTTCAAAACGTAGTGTAGCTATTGCCCAAAGCAAATCATCACCATTAATTGTCTACATCTTCTCTTTTTGACACTTATCATTGGCCTCGCTAGTAACGAAACTGATGAACTCAAAAACGCATAGAAACGCATTCCTGAACAATGAATTAGCGACTTTGAGGGGATCAATGTAATCCTTAAATGCTTTTAAATCACCCCTGGGTTGAAAGTTAGCTTCTTTAAATCAAGGCTTTTTTGGAATTGACGCTTCTCAAGTGGAATTAGACGCCACTGTCCATGTTCTAGGATGCCTGGAGGGTGTGTTTCCATTTACATATATGGGAGTACCTGTAGGAGCAAACATGAGTCTGAAAAAGAATTGAAAACCAATTCTTGCTAAATCTCATTCTTACTTTCGACTAGGAAAGTCAATTCATTATCTTTCGGGAGAAGACTCGCCCTTATTAAATCGTCTTTCGACATATTACATGTTCCTTTTCAAAGCACTACAGGGCATTATTGACTCTCTCGAAAAAATTAGGCGAAAGTTTCTATGGGGAGGTGGTGATCGCAAAAACAAAATTCATTAGGTTGATTGGTCAAAGGTCATTGCTCCTAAATCAGATGTTGGGCAAGGAGTTGGCACTCTTAAAGCTCAAAACCTTGTTCTTTTAACTAAGTGGTAGTGGATGTTATTGAATGGAAAATGATACTACGGAGAAGATTGTTATTACGAGCATACACAACCTCCATAGAAATCAGCTTCTTACATTGCCATAAAAACCTCATGTGGCGTTTGGTCCAGTATTTCCAAAGTTATTGACTCATTGACCGATCTCTACATTTGATGGGTTTTACATGTAATAACATGGATAAATCCTTAACACTTAAGGGTACATGCAGCCTAAAGATCTAAGCCATAACACTATTGAAGTAACATTCTATTAAACAACAAGAACCCTATGAACCCTATGCTAATTTCGAAAATCATAAAAAAAAGTTTGGGTTTACATACATTTTAGTTATTGTAGTAAATAACTAATAAAAACCTTCTAGAAATACTCTTGGAAGAAAGCACCACAAGTGTCGTGTCTTTGATGGTTCACACCCAAACTCTAGCAACCAAGGAGACTTGAAGAGAGAAGAATGAGGAGGTAATTTTCGAATTTGAGGCTCTTGAAGTCATGATTCAAAAATCTAAATCCTTATAGGTTTATATAAGTGACTAGGAAGTTATTAGATAAAGCAGTTTCCTAAGATAATCCTTTATCACTTTTCTTCCTCCCTAAGGTATCCAAGGTTGCTTAATGCCTAAGGAAAACCCTAGAAGACTTTCTAGAATCCGTCCCCCACCTAGGGAGGTTCTAGAATTGCTCAATGTTCAACTATTGAACATTGTCACCTTTAGTTCTTCTACTTTTTATTAATCCAATTAATCTAAAAATTAATTCTAATTAATTTATGATTAATTCTTAATTAAACAATATTATTTCTAATTAATATATTATTTTCATAATATATTAATAAATCATTTATTGTTATTTATTAATCATATAATGAATCAATAAATCAGTCTCTCTCTCTCTCTCTCTTTCTCTCTCTCTCTCTCTCTCTCTCTCACACACACACACACACCCACACACTCTATCTCTCTTTCTCTCTCTCTAAAAGTCATTATATTCAATTACTAGGTTTGAGGACAACCCAAAAGGACGTTGTTAATAATTCAAGTATATACCAATTTAGTTATTGGCTTAGACATCTAATCCAACAAGTCTCCCACTTAAATAAGTCTATAACTACAATTGACAGTATAACTTCTAAATTATCAACAAAGGGTGCTTCCCATAGCAACTCCGGTCTCTGATCTAATCAGACATTAGTCCTAAGATAAGTGATCAAATATTCCTTTGTTCTACAAGATATCGTATGGACATAAGACATGGATTAACATCAATCTCGTTGTCCAAAATTATGTTTCCCAATTTCTTGATTTAGGACGACTGAATTCAGACTACTAATTGAACATATGAATTTAGTCCATGCTCGGCCAAGCACTTTAGATGTCGACATCAAATCATCGAGGGGCCCAAAGATATCGATTTTCCCGTTAGGGAAAAAGGAACAAATAAATTTCGACTTATACGCTTGTATCTTTTACTCATCAAATCATGTATGACACTATGTTTTATAACATCATGTTACTGATGTGTTTACATAACACCAATGCATAATTGACTTGTAAATTACAACTCATATATCTCCATTTCAAGAATATAACATATTATCATCTCAGAAATACTCGTGATAGAATCCGTGAAGTAATTATCTGAGCGTGGGTTTATCCAATACTTAAAATTTCAATTTCTATGTATTCATGAACATTGTAGCAATCTTATTGCAATGTCTAATCCTTATAGACAATCTTATAATTCGATTCATGACAATCTTAATTCATTACTTACTTCCAAAAGTATGAGCGACTATGGAGCTTCGAATAATCAAATTATTTAGGAAGTAAAACACGCAAAGTGAAACACAATAATAAACTAATTAACTATAGTTTCAAACTTATTGATAATAAAAATATCTCTATTATTTAATCACCATAATAATTACAACTTTATTCATTGTATAATATTTCGAGTAATCAACTAACCACTTATGAACATGCATACTATGTCTTTCTATGGTCCTTCCTTTGTGAACAGATCGAATGGACACTATTCCAATGATGTTCATTTCTTAATTCCAAATTATTGTCACTGTCTAAAATGTATTGGAATTTCAACCTTACATGCATTGACCTTTAGTGATGTCCATGCTTCAAAATCACAAAGATTGAGACAACGATATTACAAAATATCCTATTGAAACTTTTTTCTTAGAAACAGTTCCATGTTAATGAAGGTTCTAATTCAAGGTATACTCCTTGAACACTTCGCTTTCATTAAAATTTCCAACTCATATGTAGACTTTTCAAGTATCTCCTATTATGGAAACAGTTCCATATTCCCACACGACCATCAATTTTCACCAAGAATCATCTCAATCTAAAAAAATGTCACTATGGTCCGTCCAAATAAACATCATACTTCTAACTATCCACAAGCTACCAGTCTTTTGGTATAACCTTATAATTTTCTTGACAATTGTTTAATAACTTTAGTCATACAAAATCCTAGTCCTTTTTCCTCTCAATGCTCAAGGCACTAAAAAAAATAAGAATACGTGAATATTAGAGCATCTGTAATCGATCTTATATCTGAAGCATATGAGACTCAATTCATTATATCTGATATTTGTTCAATCTCTTGCTATAATATTTTCATATATGGAATTTTCTATGTCGAACTATTTCAGCATGATATTCACATATGTCTATGACTAAGTTCTGTTGATACATGAAGTAACCCTCTTAATTTTGTCTACCGCAGTCTACAGCTCTCCGCAGTCAAGCTACCGCAGTCTTTCTTTATGTACTTATTCTATTTGTATCTATCTCTTGTAATACTATCTATTGTCCAGTATTCCTTGCATGGCTACTCTTAGAGAATAAATCTATTGTATCTCTTTAGTCTCTATAAATAAAGACTACGCTTTATCAATCAATACAAATCTCTTCTTACTCATCTCTAGATCTTAATTATCGTCAAGTCATTCTTACACATCTCATATCTTTCTTACTCTCTGAAATCCTCTCGAACACAACTGATTAGTACCTCTCTTCGGAGCAAGTCATTCGTGACTTTATCACTAAGATTAATCTCACTCATTAACTTGGTTTGAATGCATTCCATGTTATGAATCAACTTATGTGTTTACTTGATATATCACCTGCTGTCATTTATGTTTCTTTATATTTCCGCAACTAACTATCTAACCATCTAACATATTAACTTATTATTGTTGAGCTTTTAGATCCTTTTGAGATTAACTAATTCCAGAATAATACTTGTTTTAACATTTGTTCAAGTGTGTCTCAAGTTTTTCTCTCAACAAGTTCTACTATAGCAAAAGAATTCGTAAACTTTGCAATTTGCAAATTGGAAACATTGTTCCCCACGAATAGTATTGTCAGCATGCAATACTAGCATAACAATTATGCTCTCACTAACATAACAATTATGCTCCCACTGGCTTTGACATGTATCCGGTAATCAACTGGACTTCTAGAAATTAATACCGTTGACTTTCTTATTGAAGTACAAATTTCTGTTATGCAATGTTTTGATAAGTCTCCAAGTAAACTTTTTAAGCACATACACCTTAATTGGATAGAATATGTGTGTGCTTAAACCCTTTTAGAACTTATAGATATATGTCATGAAATTTCAAACAATTCCTTGACATTCCTTGAATTTTGAAATATGAAAAGGGATGTCATAATCATAATATGAATTTGAGAATGCAATTAACATAGCCAATATCCATATTGATCTTTATCAGATCCTTAAAATCTACTAGCGAAAGTGTTTTCTCATAATCATTATCATGAATTAGTGTGAAACCTTTGCCACCTATATTTTATGGTGCTTACGCTTCCATT